TCCCAGCACTTTGGGAGGCTGAAGCAGGTGGATCACCTGAGGTCAGAAGTTCAAGACCAGCCTGACCAACATGGTGAAAACCCGCCTCTACTAAAAATACAAAATTAGCTGGGCATGGTGGTGTATGCCTGTAATCCCAGCTACTTGGGAGGCTGAGACAGGAGAATCACTTGAATCCGGGAAGTGGAGGTTGCAGTGAGCCGAGATCGCACCATTGCACTCCAGCCTGGGCAACAAGCGTGAAATTCCATCTCAAAAAAAAAAATGAGATCATGTCCTTTGCATGAACATGGATAGAGCTGGAGGCCATTATCCTTAGCAAACTAACGCAGGAACGGAAAACCAAATGCCGCATGCTCTTACTTGTAAGTGGGAGCTAAACAATAAGAACACGTAGACACACAGAGGGGAACAACAGACACTGAGGCCTACCAGATGGTGAAGGGTGAGAGGAGGGAGAGGATCAGGAATAACAACTAATGTACTAGGCTTAATACTTGGGTGACAAAATAACCTGTACAACAAAGCCCCATGACACAAGTTCACCTATGTGACAAGCCTGCACTTGTACCCTGAACTTAAACGTTTTTTAAAAAAGAAATACATGGTCAGGCGCTGTGGTTCACGCCTGTAATCCCAGCACTTTGGGAGGCTGAGGTGGGTGGATCACCTGAGGTCAGGAGTTCAAGATCAGCCTGGCCAACATGGCAAAAACCCGTCTCTACTAAAAATACAAAAAGTAGCCGGGCATGGTGGTGTGTGCCTTTAATTCCAGCCACTGGGGAGGGTGAGGCAGGAGAATTGCTTGAACCCGGGAGGCAGAGGTTGCAGTGATTCAAGATGACACCACTGCACTCCAGCCTGGGCAACAGAGTCAGACTCTGTCTCAAAAACAAACAAACAAACAAACAAAAAACCATTTACTCCTGCCTTCTGAACCCATGATTCTATTTTTAAAAACATAAATCCTGCTGGACAGTGGCTCATGCCTGTAATCCCAACGGTTTGGGAGGCCAAGATGGGAGGATCGCTTGAGCCCAGGAGTTTGGGACTGGCCTGGGAAACATAGGGAGACCCTGTCTCTACAAAAAAAAAAAAAAAAAAAAAATTAATTAGCCGCTCGTGGTGGCAAGCACCTGTAGTCCCAGCTACTCAGTAGGCTGAGGTAGGAGGACTGCTTGAGCCCCAGAGGGAGGTCAAGGCTGCAGTGAGCCATGATCATGCCACTGCACTCCAGTCTGGGGAACAGAGACCCTGTCTCAAAAAGAAAAAAAAATAACAGGCCAGGCACAGTGGCTCACACTTGTAATCCCAGCATTTTAGGAAGTCAAGACAGAAGGATCCCTTAAGCCCAGGAGTTCAAGACCAGCCTGGGCAACACAGAAGATCCCATCTCCATAAAAGTAAAAAAATCACACACACACCGGCTGGGCACGGTGGCTCATGCCTGTAATCCCAGCACTTTGGGAGGCCGAGACAGGCGGATCATGAGGTCAGGAGATCGAGACCATCCTGGCTAACACGGTGAAACCCCGTCTCTACTAAAAAATACAAAAAACTAGCCGGGCGTGGTGGCGGGCGCCTGTAGTCCCAGCTACTTGGGAGGCTGAGACAGGAGAATGGCGTGAACCCGGGAGGCGGAGCTTGCAGTGAGCTGAGATCCGGCCACTGCACTCCAGCCTGGGCAGCAGAGCGAGACTCCGCCTCAAAAAAAAAAAAAAATCACACACACACCAAAAAAAGAAATTCAGTGGAAATAACCCTAAACCTAACAACTCTTAAAACCTTTTTTGTGGTGTTATTTACCTCAAGGGGAAGAAAAACTTTAATTTCAAACCAAAGGAGAATTCATTACATTGTGGTTCATCTGAATCTGCAATATTGCATGGCCATTTAAAAACACATCGAACAACACAGGAATGATCTTCTATCAGTCAGAGGGAAGGAGTGACCACGAGTTGCACATAGAGAATCCTCACCACTGTTGGAAATCATCTGACAATCCACCACAAATAACCAGGGAGCGAGTGGGCAATCTGGGGGGGCCTGGCTGTCCTCAGGGGACACCTCTCCAGTGGAGACATGGCAAGTGGCATCGTGGCAGTGCTGGAGGGACCAGGACGATCCCGAGGGAAACGAGATGGGGCAGCCGGGAGGGGAGGCAGAGGACTGCTGCTCCCACTGGCCCTTCGCGTCACTCACTCAGAAACCTGGGTGAGAAGACCTGGAGGCCTTGCTGCCCAGCCGACTGGGACAGATGAGCACTCCTGTGATGTTGGAACGATGCCGGCGCAGCGCCCTCCTCCTCCATTAGTGGGGTGTAGGCGCCTTTCGGAGAGTGTTTGACCGTCTCTATTTCAACATTTCAAATGCACACAGCCTTTGACCCGAGGACCCCCGTGTGGGATATCCTACACAACGAGACCGGGTGCCTGCGCAGGCCACCCACGGCAGCAGCGTCTGTGGTCACAGAGAACTGGGAACAGTGCTGCCTGCCTGGGGCCCCCACAGGGGGAGCCCAGTGTTGAAGTGTGCCAGGGAGAGCTGCAGATGAGGACTGATGGGGAATGCCAGTGAAATGGATGGTTAAGGGGCAAAAGTCAAGTTGCGGAACAGCACAATCCTGTGTAGGTGGACCAAAAATATACACAGACAAACACACAGATCTCCATCAAAGTTCCAGAGCAAACCCAAGAAAACGTTGACCGTGGCTGCCTTTGGGGAGGGGGGCCGGAGGCGTGGCCCTTAAACCTTGCATCCTCCATGGCGTTTATAAGTTTACCATGAGCACGTGCTGTTGAATCCGTAAGAAAAGCGGGTTTTTACTCATCCTGTTTTGAATACAGACACTGAGGAAGTCTTGGCAACATGCAAACATTGCTGGTGGTGGTTCCCTTGTTTATGAACTTCTCCTTTTATGCAGGAGCTCAGTGCTGGTTTTCCCACCCCCAGTCCTGCTGAGGGCTGGTCCCGAATGCAGCGTCCCACAGCCCAGGTACGTTCCCAAGCACATGCTGAGGCCCAGGGCATCAACGGTGCACCACACGCTGCCACTGAAGTGCCCTGGCCCCTCCCCACTGCCAGCCTGGGCCACACTGAGCCTGCCCCACACCCTGTGGCAGGGGCTCCAAGGCCCTCCATGGAAGGCCTGCTGGCCTCAGGTTGAGGCTCCTCCCAAGACCTGTGTCCAGCAAGACCTGGGTTTGCCAAGCTGACCCAACGGCAGGTGCACTAGCCATGGTCATGGAGACCCTGCCCTGACTCAGGCCCTGACAAGGGTCCCTCTGGGGACTGCACAGCCTGGGCAAGGGTCGAGGGTCTGCCCCTCTCCTGTCCAGCCCTGAGGTCTGGCCCAGGGTGATTCCTTCTTGGGAAGGAGGATGGCAACGCAGCCCAGCAGGCAGCCTGTGGTGGTCTGCACACACCAAACAGATTGGGCCCTTTTGCAGCCACAGTGCCTGGGCCTCACAAGTGCTGGGAACGGGACCCTGCACGTGGCCCAGTGCCATAAGCGCAGGTCTGCCCAGCTAATGCCCTGTGGTGAGCGTGGGGCTCAGTGGCTGCTGAGGGAGACGCAGAACCTGGGGCCTCGCACAGCATGGCCCCCAGGCGCCGGGTTCCCCAGCCACACTGTCCCCTCCTGGTGAGGTGCTCTCGCCCCTCCTGGTGAGGTGCTCTCCTCCCAGCTCCCTGCGAGGAGCCCCTGCCTGCTGCCGGAGACTGAAGGTGTGGGGATGCTGCCATGGATTCGCCTCTTTGCTTCCAGACACGCTCGCTCTCAGGCTTGTCCACGGAGCTCCAAGCAGGGCCTGGGGCCTGGTTGCGGAGAGCACCTCCCGCACGCTGCGCCCGCTCAGAGTGCACATCTGAGGGTGGTGGCCGGCGTTTGGGAAGGACTCAGGGAGCGACCAGCCCAGCGCAGGTGCTGGAGCGTCCCCTCGGTGAGTGGCAGAGCTGGCCTCCCGGGCATGGCTCGCGCTTGCAGACAGCAGCGTCCACAGGCACTGGCGAGGCTGCCTCATCGCCCAGGACCAGGCAGGCTGACCACGTCCCTTCCCGGCCCAGCCAGGTGGGAAGCTGAGGTTGGCCGTGGGAGTCCCAGGACATGCTGGGTCCTCTGTCCTCTGCCCACCATCCCAATGAAGAGTCAAGGGCACAACTGTCAGCCACACCCCAAATCACACGCAGGAACGGGGAACGTTTTCCCAAAACTTTTAGAATAAAGCCTACTACTTTGCAGAAAGTGATCAAACCCTATATATATTTTTTTCAATAAAAAACCATAGAAGGTTGGAGTCAATACTATGTGGTGGGTGGATCATGGCCCCGCACTCCCACCCCCCAGGGACAGGTGCCCACTCGTCCCCACCCGCTCCCCTGGCCCGCTCTGGGGTCTCCCTGGGGTGGGACCTTCCTACCATGGGGCTGGCCTAGCTAGCTCTAGCCGGGGATGTGAGTGGATGGGACACAGCACCCATGGGACTCGTGTGGCTGGTCTGACACCCCCCCCCCTCGCCCCTGACCCAGGAGGAGAAGAGACACACGCAGCAGAGCAAACTGCCAGCTCGGCCCAGCCTGGAAGAGCTGCCTGGGGCCCTGGAGGCCCACAAGCCTGCACCCCACCTGCTCTACCCCTACGGCGGCACCTCCATGACTGCAGCTGACCACTCCCACTTCACCGGAGTGGGCCTGGAGGGGAGGGGCCTCACCTGAGGGCAACAGCAGAACCCACCACCTGGTCTTGCTTCACTCAGACCTGAGGGTGTGAAAGGTGCCCGTGACCTCCCGCATCAGGGAGCTGCCCGCCCCCCTCAACGCCCGGGGAGCAGATATCCGACGACCCCCCATCCACCAGGCTGGACCCTTGGGCCACGTGAGCCAGGTGGTGCCTCACCTCCACTCCCGGGGGAGCCGGCCTCGGGGTAGGCGGGCGCCCTGGGTGGGAGCAGGTCGTGGCCACTGCCCTCCTGGCAGCTCTGGCTGAGCAACCGCCGCAGCATCTGATTCTCCTTCAGGAGGCGCACCTGCTTCTTCAGGTCTGCGTTCTCGCTCAGAAGCCGGCTCATCAGCTCGCCACCCTCAGCCATGGCGGGCGCGTCCCTCCTCGTCCCTCACGGCTCCTGCAGCCCCATGGAGGTGGGAGCCCAGAGCCCGCAGGCACCACAGAAACAGCCCGGGCATGGAGTTCCGTAGCCACCGCTGCCTTCTGCGCCTTGTGATGTCACTGCCCTAGTGATGAGGTGCCCGGCACCCCCGCCTGACCCGGCGATGGCTCGTGGCCCCGTTGAGGCCGTGAAGCTGGAGGCCCGTGGTGTGCACAGGCAGCCACTCCCACACCACGACCGGGGCCCGAGAATGCCAAGGACATGAGGCAGGTACGGAATGTCGGGACTGCACTCCAAGGGGGCGTCCAAGCCTCTCCCCAGTGAGCGGCCCAGCCAGGGTCGGGCGTCCACCCTGTGTGGAGTCCTCAGGCTGGGTGGGGATGCTGCCTTCACCTGAGTAACACGTGGGCTGCACTTCCCACAGGACCTGCCCAGGACACAGGGATCCCAGTGCAGTTTCCTGTGGGCCCCGGCACCCAGGGCAGCTTCTGGTGTGCAGGTGTTCATCAGGGCCCATCCTTGGCACCCACATTTGAGAAAGGAGGGGCTGGTGAGGGCAGCTGGAGGAGACCAGTCTGGCAGGGGAGATCAGCCTGTGGTGGGCACCAGCCTGGTGGAGGGGACCAGTTTGGTGGAGGAGACCAGCCTGTGGAGGAGACCAGCCTACGGGGAGACCAGTCTTGGGGGAAGACCAGCCTGGGGAGGAGACCAGCCTTGGGGGGAGACCAGCCTGTGTGGGAGACCAGCCTGGGGAGCAGACCAGCCTGTGGGGGAGACCAGTCTTGCGGGGAGACCAGCCTGGGGAGCAGACCAGCCTGTGGGGGAGACCAGCCTGTGGAGGAGACCAGCCTGGGGAGGAGAGCAGCCTTGCGGGTAGACCAGCCTGGAGGGAGACCAGCCTGGGGGGAGACCAGCCTGGGGGGAGACCAGCCTGGGGAGGAGAGCAGCCTTGCGGGGAGACCAGCCTGGAGGGAGACCAGCCTGGGGGGAGACCAGCCTGGGGGCAGACCAGTCTTGCGGGGAGACCAGCCTGGGGGAGGAGACCAGCCTGGAGCGGGAGACCGGCCTGGGGAGGAGACCGGCCTGGCGGGGAGACCACCCTGGGGAGGAGACCAGCCTGGGGGGAGACCAGCCTGGGGCAGCCCCACCATGGGCCCCACGATTGGCCCCACATGCTGAGGGGCGCTGGGTGGCCCTGAGGGCTGGGCTGGAGGCCACCTGCTGACCTCACTCCCCAATGAGAAGGGTCCAGCAGTGCCTGTCCACCCCTCGGACCACGAGCGCCCACGTCTAAGACACCAATTGTTCCTGACTGCACTGCTCCTGCCTGCACCTAACTGAGGACGGCCCCAACCCATGGCCACGGCCCCTCGGGCCGTCACGCAGGGCTGTGGCTCACAGGGTCCTGCTAGAGTAGGCGCTGTCCTCGGTCAGTGTGACCATCTTGAAACCCACCCTGACTCCCCGCTTCTCCAATTACTTGGGGAAGTAAATCACCTCAGTGTTGTTTCTTGGCTCCGAGGGTCTTGTTTTATCAGCAGCCGGGATGCAACAGAAGGGTCATCTCATCCTCGTGGGAAGGGACGTAGTCCAGAAAACACAACCCATTGGGCCGGCCACACCTCCAGCCCTGTGACGGGCACCCACCACCACCAACCCAGTGGGCCGGCCACACCTCCAGCCCTGTGACAGGCACCCACCACCACCAACCCAGTGGGCCAGCCACACCTCCAGCCCTGTGACGGGCACTCAGGACCACCAAGGGCACTCACGTGCAGACGCCCCGAAGGAGAACACCACCTTCATTCAGCCCGGGCGGCCACATTAGGGGAACGTTGCTTCCAGGAGAGAGTCTCGAGTCAGGCTTTGTGGAGAATGGAGGTTGCTATACCCCAAGCGTTCCTGACACAACCCAGCCCGCCTGGCTGCACCACAGGGCTCACACCTCAGATCAAGACAACGGGGGCCCAGACACAGCCCACTGACGAGGCCATGCCCCTGCACGTCCAGGATGCAGGGCAGAGAGAGAAGTCAGGGGTGAGTCACAGATGCGCCCCCCACTCTGACCCCGACGGGGCCCTGAATGGCTTTTCCTGCCCTGGCCCCTCCCATCATGTTTTAAATGCCATCTTCTTCCCGCTCCAAGGAAGCCTTCTCCTGACATCACGTACTCTCCAGCCACGGACCTATCAACACTCTGACAGTTTTCTGATCTTGACACATTATCCTTTTAATATAGCACTGGATTCAATTTATTAATATCTTAAGTATTTTTATGCTCACAGGGGAAATCGATCTGAATCTCCTTTTCTTGTGATGTCTTGGTCTGGCTTTGGAACACTGGCCTTTTAAAATCAGCCGCAGGGGTTCCATGCCATTTTCTGGGTGTTCCTT